GTGGAGCAGTTTGAATCCGGGATACCCAGGTCAATAGTTTGTGACTTAACGTTTTGGCCAACACCTGAGTAACGGAAACAATGACAGAAAATCAGGAATAGGTTCAAGCATTTTTCAAAGAAGACAAATAAACCTCAAATTCAAATTTTTATTATGGGAAAAACTTACAAAGAGTTCGCTTATCAAATCCCATAGAATGTTCACAATGTTCGGAATACGATTCACAAGATCACAGCTAGTTCATGTGCGTAAAAAAGTAATGTCATTTTTGTGACGACCGCAGAAGAATATATTATGTATTTCGGTGTTCAAACATAATGTTTGCCAGAGCATCATGAAGCTGATGCTTTAGCAAGTTACACACAAGCTTTCAGCCAAAAATAGACCACCGTTACAATCCTGGTTAAAACAGGTAAAAACGTGGGAGGTGAAGCGTGCAAAAATATGAGTTAATTACTCAATGCATTAGAAAGCTCAGAATGGACACTTTCCCTATCGGTCAGCATCCGCTCAAGATAAGGTACCAAAGGGTTTCTGTATGCGGATATACGAGACGGGATACGTTTGTACTTACAACGGGTGGAGGGGTGGGATTTACACGCACACAAGTCCGTGTGCAAAGAATGAGTGCAATCAGATAGAATATGGTCAGTAAACTTCAAGCACGCATCAATATGGGAATTACACATATTACCAATCAGAACAGATAACGGAACTTGGGAGACAAGGCTGATCCTTGAGAGGCCACGCCTCAGCAAATTGAAATCGACCTTCAACAAACCAGGGGAAATTACAGGAGAGCAGTACAAGGGCATAAAGAAGAAAAATTGTTGAACGAAAGCGTTTATCACCGACCAGTCAGAACAGAAGTGGCATGGTCTTCTTATCTGGAAAGAAAAATCTGTCAACTTGCGAGCAACACTTTGGTTATGTAAGGACCAGTGAAGGTTACTTTATGGTGTGACATCTAAGTACTTCACATGGCTGGCCCTGCTCATCGGATTTCCATGAATCTGGACATTGTCGGATGGAGATGGGGTACGGCTTAGACTAAAAATACATTCAAGGCATTTTTCAGAATTGAAATTAAGATCAGAAAAAGTGGAATATGAAACGAGGTGGGATAGGTTTGTATTATATTCAACCAGTTCTGGTTGGGTAGATACCAAAACAGAAATGGCGATATCATCGGCATACTTCAAATGTCGAACAGGGGGAGTAGTAGATAAGTCACCGATATAAGTCGAAAAAAGATAAGGTGATAGGACAGCACCTTGAAATACACCCGATCTATTGAGAGATGCGGTTGACCGTCTTCTTCCCAATTTAACATACTAATATATTTGCGGAAAGTAAACAGTGAGCCATTCAAGAAGATAATTGGGACAGTCAAATGATGGGAGCTTGTTAAATAAAAGAGAACGGAGCAATGAGTCAAAAGCGGAAGAATAGTCCGGAAATGCATGATGCACATATTTGGCTTTCTCAATAGGGGCTTGCAGATGAAATGAACTAGAGAAGAAATCGCATCTAATGTAGATCGGTTATATTTGTATGCAAACTGATAAGTATCGACTGGGGTGGTAAGGGAAAACTGAGGACGATGCAAAACTGATCGCTTCATCAGCTTCAAACCTGTGGAAGTGAGAGTAATTGGTCTGAAACGCTTCGCTATTGCGGCCTTTGACGTTCCTTTGGGGATGAGAGTAATTCTCACTGGACGCCATCAGTCCGGAATGGTTTGGAATTCAAGTCAAAGATTATCTATGTGTGCAAAAATCTGAGACACTGGCAGAGCACCCTGTTTAAGAAGGGTATGACTCAAGTTGTTTAGACTAGGTGTGTTCGACGCCTTCAAAGAACACATGTGTTTAGACATCTCACTAGAGGTGATGGGATCAAATGAGGGTTGGATGTTTGGAGATCTGAAATCAACATAACTGGGGTGTGTCGGACAAAGAGTGAATAAATGCAGTATTTAGTTTTTCAATAACAATATAGGAACTGCCTGCAGAGTAGATTGATTCCACGCCACATAAATATACAGTTATTCGTCCCAAAAAACTGACTTGCATAAAGAGCGTCCAACAGTCTTATTCCACTCTTGATCAGAAACGATAATCGTTGCATTTCGGCCCTCCTGTCACATTTAAATGCACGATCTTTATCACGGCGAAGACGTTTAAGAAAAGGTGTTGATATTCTGTCATGTTGAAGGAACAAAGTTGTCACAGGACAGCATATGTCAAAACCACGGTTTAACACTTCTGTTAGAAAGGTCATATTGGACAAATAGATTGTTTAAAAGAAAGTAGTCGGTAACTACCTTAAGGGACTTTCTAGGCAAGGCAATAATGTCTGGGGAAATATCTCACTGATGGAACATGATGTATTTGGGTCCAGTAAAAGAAAAATGTCCTGAATGTGAGTAAATCTCAAGTCTGACCAGGATCAGATTGTGATCGCTGGTGCCTAAGGGAGAGAACTGTTTGGTGGAAAAGGTGTCAGCGTGGTTTGTGATTATATGGTCTAGATGAGAGTTGCCTCTAGTTGGTTCAATAATCAGGTCATTGAGGTTTAGACACAATAAAGGGTGCAGGGGTACAACGAATATAGGCCGCATGGGTGGAAGCTTTTATCTGGAAGAGTCCACCAGCACCTGGCGGGTTGACTAGATAACAGTGATCAAGAGCATTGATTATTAGATTGTCTCACGTCTCAAAAGGTCCAGTCGAGTCATAAACGCGCCTGCAAAATTTGATTAAGAGCACAACCAAAAGGATTATTGGTATCCTCTGGGTCTCACACAGAGAGGGAACGATTGAAATCCGCCTGTATAATCCTCTCTCTTAATATGGTCACAAAAACCGTTTGAACGAACACTCGGATTACGATGGCTATCACTTTGGCCGAAGCTGTCGTTTCCCTCTCACCTCCGTCGTGACCCGAAACAGCGCATGTGTGTGTCAGAGGACCAAATTATGAGCCTAATCTGTATTTGAGATGGTGCTAATCGGATTTCAACCATGCTGTTCACGTTGATGACCCCAGGCGGATCTTTGGGCTCTGTCGGGTTTGATGCATTCATTTCAGTGATATCTGCTTGTGGGAATACGCATGAATTGTCCTTAGTCTTCACTATGGTAAAATAAACGGATCAAGTCCATGAAACCGATCAGGTACGCTTCAGGCAAAAAATATCCGTAATCGCACTCGGCATCCCGTAGTGAATATTTTAGGAAGATTAT